GGGTGCCGACTACCACCTGAGATAATGCTGGTTCAACCAGACACGCACTTGCTAGGTGTAGGTGTACAGTTCAGTAGTGGATAGTGCTGAAGATTTAAGGATTAAAATTCCATATACATGGGCTCACCTCGCATCAACTTAGTACATTTTGGCTAGCTGTCTAGTGTCTTTTATTTCAAATGCGGTGGAAACGTGAGATACGGAGTTTATGGACCTTTTATATTGTATGTAGTATGTACGTAAATAATATATATTTGAGGAATATTTAAATAATATTACTGAAAGATTTATTTTTACAAATCACGTTGAGGACAAGGGACACTGGCATTACCGAAGTGTATTTATAGGTAGATATTTTATATATCATAATTATAAATAAAAATCACTTTCTTCAAAAGAGAGTTAATGATGATTACACCGTCTGAAACAATCCAATTTCTCATTTTCTTTTAAAGGGTCAGTCGACTCATTCCACTGAGTCATCGATTCGTTTGAAACACTTCAACCGTCCTGCCGACGGTCTGACTGTTAAGGCTTCGAAGAAATTGAACGTCATTTGAATGCAACGGCACGACCCTTTTAATGAATTCTAATCATAATCAAAATTTATTTTGTTATAAACAACCATCCTTCCTACCACGTAATTAAAAAGAACCTACGGAAACGTCGAAATTGATTTTTTACGAGGGTTTGTCAACTACGAGATTATTTTAACTCTGGGGTGCGGTTTTTAAAAAAAGAATGCACGGACGCTGGATTCGAACCCGGGACCTTTACCTTAAAGTGACGAACGCCGTAAACCGTTGAGGCCACCGACGCCCCAATCGAAATGGATAAAACTTAAAACAAATGGTATTATTAAAAAATTGGTTTTTAATCAAAATTATTCAAAGTGATATCTTTCAAAAAAGGGAAGACAACTGATGTACAAACAACTTATATCAATGAACCAGAAGTGATAATAGCGGTAGTTAATGCAATACGGGAAGGTGTCCGAATGTTTAGGTATACCGACTCGACTCGTATTTACCACGCAAGGGGTTTTAGGTTCAAATACCGGATCTTGCCCTTTGAATTTTATTTGAGGGTAATTTTTGATAAAGTATTGTGACACATCTTCCGCGACTAAGAACATATAGTTAGCTTAACATATAGTTGGATGTTAAGCCTCTCTTCTACAAGAAACGCAACATCACATTCATCGAAGAATAACAGCATTTTTTAGCATATTTGATAGGACAAGAAAACATTACTAACTTTTTATGATTATAGTTTAGTAATAACAGGTAGTTTAGTCTTCTCCGAACATTAATTTTAAAATGCATGACATAATGCTAATCATCACATGTGTTAATTCATGGATACCGTTTCAATTAAAAGATTCGACATAACTAAAAGCCCAATGCTGGGATAGGGTACACTCAGAAAACAAGAACGGGTTTTGGGTATTAGGTGGTTTAGGAAAAATTTCAAACCTAATGATGGCTGAATGGCGTAAAGCTTTTGACATAGAAAAACCGGCGAAAATAGGCGGACCGGAATAAACCGGAGGATCAAGAACAACAGGTTCACCTCCTTGCACACCTTACCACAATGTTTCGCGATCTCTGTTGCGTTGTTCAACTTCACACCGTGTTAAAAAAAGCACAATATGTCCCCACGGTCATTGATATCTTCAACTTCCAGTCCTTGATCACACCGGACCAAAAAGTACGTTATCTAATTACACATAATATGCATCCGGTGGACTATCGGCGAAACGGCCAGCCTAATATATTTACGAAACACAACCTTTCGCCAGGTTGTACATCTGGTTCTTTTTACACAAACCGTACACATAATTGTGCTCTTTTTTTATTTGTGCGAACGGTTTTAAGAAAGGAAATGTTCCAGGGTTAACAATATAAACTATCATTCAAATTATTCGCTGTTATAGAAATTATTTGAACTGATGAAACACGGAAAATACCACAAAACGTACGCACTAAATCTCACTTTATCTCTGGATTTAATTTTTTAAATTTATTTTAAAAACCTTGGTAGAAAATAAGTGTATCAAAATTACATGTAATAAAATTAGCAACGAAGTTGTTCTAATTTTTAGCCCCAATATGAGGAACATATATATATATATATATATAAGTTATAAATTTGACTATAGATAGAGAGGGAGGGAGAAATGGAGTGAAAGAGAGGATAGAGGGAGACATAGAGTAAGTGGGAGAAAGAGAAATAGAGAGGGAGTGAGAGAGATAGAGAAAGAGAGAGAGAGAGAGAGAGAGAGAGAGAGAGAGAGAGAGAGACTTATTAACTTTAAATAATTAAACACATTCATCTGCTAAGTAAAGACATGCTAAACTAAAAAATACAAGTAAATTTAAACGCAATATGGTAATATATACTATTGGACAAACTGGAGTAGATGAATGTGTTTAATTACTTTAAGTTACTGAGTCTCTCTCTCTCTCTCTCTCTCTCTCTCTCTCTCTCTCTCTCTCTCTCTCTATCTATCTATCTATCTATCTATCTCTATCTATCTATCTATCTATCTATCTATTTATCTATCTATCGATATCTCACTCCTCTTCTCTCTCTCTTTATACAAGTAAATTTAAACTCAATATGGCAATGTATACTATTGGACAAACTTAAAATTAAATTATGAGAGATAGAAAAGGAGTGAGATATTGATAGCTAGATAAATAGATAGAGAGATAGAGAATGAGAGAGAGAGAGAGAGAGAGAGAGAGAAAGAGAGAGAGAGACTCAGTAACTTAAAATAATTAAACACATTCATCCACTAAGAAAGGACATGCTAAATTAAAAAATGCAAGTAAATTTAAACTCAATATGGTAATGTCTACTTTTGGACTAACTTCAAATTAAATTGAGACAGAGAGAGAGAGGAAGAGGGAGACAGGATAGATAGATAGAGAGATAGAGATAGATACATAGATAGAGATAGGGGAAGAGGTGAGAGAGAGAGAGAGAGAGAGAGAGAGAGAGAGAGAGAGAGAGGGATACATATACATATCTCGTTACGACTATCTCTATTTATATGTATTTGTCATTCGGGATGTTTTTTCTTGCTATTCGGTTGGCTAAAATTAATAAAAAATACATAAAAGGCCGAAAATTCTAAGCGGAATTAAGATGTCACAGAGGAACTGCAACTGGCATAATTCCAGTATTTTTTAATGAACTGGTGATTCATGATAATCTTTTTCAGCAAGTACTCACGAAACCGGTGAATTGAAAAAAAAAGAAACACTTCTTAGCTGATATAGAAATAAGCGAAACTATTCTAGATCTTGTTACTGATCGAAGATGAATCAGCCAGTCACGTTTATAAATAAAGAATGATGATGAGGGGGAAGCACTGTTTGTAAACCCAACGACGTCTGTTGACTTGTTTTTCAGATGGGTAGAAACATTCCATCGTGATAATGGAGATAAATTTTGAATTGGGAATTAAAATATTTTATTTAGTCTATCTATTAAGAATTGCGTCTATATATATTAACAAAGAATATGAGCACAGATCCCTAACTAATCTAACAAAAACATGTTCAAATCTATTAGACTCAAAGTTACATATAGAAATAATTAGTAAAAATAAGAATTTCATCATTTACGTGTTAAAATGTTGCATTATTGACCAAACCTATATGCACTGAGAGGCAAAAAAGTTGCTACCTTTAATATTTTTAATTATCTTTTATACAGTCATCCATTGATTATCAATATTTGGTCCGTTTTAAAGGACTAGAGATAAATAAAACATAAATAAAATTTCCCACTTTTGTTTAAGATTGAATTTTGTAAATTAATCTTTGAACAGTCACTCTCTTCTTTGTTGGCTTTTCTATAAAGCTTCTTTCTAACATCCTTGTGGTTTGATTTTTTTTAAGTTGTACCATTTTTAAGTTTTAAATTTGTTTGAGAGATGATTTTAACTGATACAGATTCGGCTAGAATCTTTGCACTGTGGAAGATGGAAAAAATCAAGCGTTTGTGGCCAGGGTGCTTAAAATCTCCAGAACAACTGTCCGAAGGGTCTTGTATCGCTACCAAGTTACTGGAGGTTACTCAAGAAGGCATGGATCCGGTCGCTCTCATGTCATAATCTCAAAGAATTGTTCGTTTTATTGTTTCATATTTACTCCGTAGTCGATATTCTACCCCTGTTGAGATCAAGCAACAACTTCAACAACTTAGAAATGTTAATGTCTGACCTGCCACTGGTCCAGAACTCCTGACAAGGCCCAGAACAGCTCGGTTATGTTTCGCAAGAAATCACATCAATTCGTCTAAGCAAAGCTAAACTAAAATCTTGTTTTCGAATGAGTCAAGGTTTTGTTTGAGATCTTCTGAAGACTGAGAAGTACAGCGATATATCCCGATAACTATAGGGTACTAGTGAACTTGATCTTCATTGAAGGTTCCCTTACAGCTGCGTTATACATTAAATATGTGCTATCGGAAGAAGTTGTTAATGTTGTTAAGCAAGGCACCCCACACAGTTTAGGATAGTTTCTGACTACTTGGAACGTGCTTCAATTCCATGTCTGGAGTGGCCAGCATGTAGTCACGACTTAAACAGTATCGAACACCTTTGGGACGAGTTGTCAAAGAAGGTAAAATGTCGCTCGGTGATGCCAGAGAATTATCAGGAATCAAGAATGGCGCTGTTGAAGGAGTATGAAAATATTCCACAACGCTGTATCAAAACCTCATGAAATCGATGCCACGTCGAATGCAAGCGGTGATTAATGCAATAGGAGAAAAACACCGTACTGAATTGAATATTTTCTTCATCGTTTCCATAGCAACATTTTTGGTAAAATTGTTTTACCGAGTTTAATTTTTTTACTTATATCCTGTATTTTTATACTTATATATTATTTAATTATATATTTAATTCACTAGTTTTCGTGGTACGCTTGACCAATTAATATCTTTCAATTAATTATTGAATTTGAAATTATTTATATACTTACTTATTGAACAGAAATAGGACACCCGCTCTGGCAGCATTGTACTCCATTTTCCATGAAGGACCCAAAAAGAATTTTCATATTGATCCGATTTCACCCTATACAATTTTTCTGCTTAAAACAACATGAACTTTGTTTATACAAACTATTGTTTAAACAAATATGTATGCTAAATATTTTATATTGCAGGGCGCGTTCTTAATTAGTAGAATTCCCTTGACATTCCGTCTTACCGTGGGAATCATTAATATATTATTTTTAACATGTGAAACCGTAAGATGATAATTCATTGTAAATTATTCTCCGTTTTCATACATTTCTGGACGTAATGCTTGTTCATAATACCGGTGTTGATAAAATCATTTTTAGTCCTGGCCTTGTTTTGTCTGTGGGTCTGTTTTTTTTTTAAAGTATCGCCCTTACGCAGGTGACTTGATCATTCTCACGATTCTTTATACTGAAATGAAAACTATATTATGTATACATTTAAAATATCTTAAGAGATATTCCATTTCACCCGAAAACTACATGTTAATGTCCGTAAAGAGTACACATAAGCGGGTAATTTAATCGGTTTTAATTAAAATTCTTTTTGCTGTGTACTGCTCGCATAACACAAATACATCATAATTAATTATCGCCAGCAGTATTTCAACATTCGTGAAAATTAACTTGGAAAAAATCTGGTTCTGAAATCAATGGAAAAAGCCATTTTTAAAAAGTAACATTTTAAATATTTATAGTTATTAATTTTTAATTGAATTTCTTCTGCTATTACAATGCTTATCTTTTCGATTAACTAAACGAACAATTATTTATTGATCATGATCATAAAATAATTTTTGGATTTTTTTTGCTCAATATTGATAAAATGACCCCTAGTTAACTTTTATCTTATGATGAATCTTATAATTAATTTTGTATTTTTAAATATAATCAGTTGCTACTACATTGGCATTCGGCACTAATAAAATAAATTTGCACTAGTTGGAATTGTCTTTTTTAAAAAGCCTTGCCTGTTTGAATAATTTTTTAGAGATAATTAAAACACGAAGAGAAAAACATGTACTATTTTTAATAAAATTTAATATAAAGTTTATTCGTAAAAAATCGTTTTAATCTAAACCTAATTTTTGAGCAAAGCGTTTTCACAATACAAACAAGCAACACTTCATGTGATTTCGACAAGAAAGGAAACCAGAAGAAAATTCTCATATTTGTCTATAGTTCAAAAAGGCAAGGTCGTTCAACATTAATTTTTAACGTGTGGTGATGAGAGACCGCTAATCGATAATTATTCAGAAATCGTGAGATGCAGTCTGGTGTGATGTAGGTTTCAGAAAAACATTTTCTTTATCGTGCCAACGTTTACATTTAACAAAAACATGTAGGATGTGGAAAAAGTGAATTTACAATACAAAATATATTTTTTTATATTCAATCAAAGTATTTCTACTCACTCAAAGTGTTTGTCTTCTGTGTAATTGTGCCATTCTTGCGTGTCGTGTTGAGAGTGCCAGTGCATTTTTTGCAATGTATAAATTCACTTTTTTCCACATCCTACATGTATTTGTTAAGTTTAAACAATGTTTGTAAATCCCAGTCCCTGAAGATGATCTCAATAAAGATCGAAACGTTGGCACGATAAAGAAAATGTTTTTCTGAAACCTACATCACACCAGACCGCATCTCACGATTTCTGAATAATTAATTTTAATCAAAAAAAATTATGCCGTCTGAATGTAAATCGTGATATTTCTCACCAAGAAAACTGACCTATGAGATGAACAATTTTATTAAATGAAATGGTGTTAAGCTAATGTTAACTTACCTATCCACGGTTATGTAAAAATTGGTTGGATGGATGAAGAATAAGGTGTTTTGGAAACCCAAATATGTAGGGTTTTCTCCAAAGACGAAGACTTAAAAAACCCGCTTAAAGTTTGTTTTTTATTTTATTTATTATTAACGAGGGAGAAAGTGTTGTGGTTGGGCTGGGTTGAAAATAGATGAATTTTTGCGGATATACCACTATTACCGTAGGATCCGGTTAAATTATTTCAACAAGCAAAAACGTCCAAACCATTCTATTAAAGACCAAAACAGACGATTAAGAAGACCAAAAAGTGATCGGTTTTGACCAAATTACGGGTTCTTCACCCCCTCAGACCACATGGAGAAATCCCACAATTCTATTATGGTAATCAATTTTCTGATGAAAAAATATGTAACGGTTATTGTCAAAAACCGCCAAAATAACGGGCCCGAAAGGCATTTATATCTTTTCCTCACTCATAATCTCATGAAACCTAAAAGTAGTTGTTGATATTGCCTGAAAGAGGAAATATTCCGCTCTCAAATGGGTGTATAAACGTTCGATTCGGATTAACTTCAGAAGAGTTAAAAATTTTGTAAACAGGACATCTTCGAGAAAGAAAAAATTTGCCCCCAGCGAATCTAACCCAAAAAAGACTATTTTTTATTGCTATGCACTTTTATTTGAGGGTGTTCAATGGTGCTTAAAACAAATCCTATTTGTTTTTGACACAAAAATTTTTTTAACCTATTTTACTAGAAACGTATTTTGCTTTTTTATCTTTAATCTCATTTGACCCTACCAATCATTTTCTTATCCTACAATTTAAAAACAACCAATCGGTTGATATACAATAACATTGAAATATATGCCCAACAAAGGCAGAAAAACATATTTTCAAAAATAGCTTAAAATATGTTTCGATCTAAACTGCTCAAAAATTAATAGGGATATTTAATTAAATTAACCGATATTCTAGTTAGTTGGATAAAACAAAATAGAAAAACAAGGAATATTAATCCTCATTTTTAATTATGAATTTACTTAAGAATGTAATTAAGGTTTTGGTTGAGATAAAGTCAGTGTCACCATCTCAACCCCACCATTTGAATTGTCTCTCCTTTTTGCTATTTTTTAACGTTTTACCTCAACCAAAACCTTAAATAAAGATTAATTAATTGAAAAGAATTTATTTGATCAATCGGACAACGAAACCAAATAGATGTAATAAGTGCAAAATGAAGTATACTTCGCTACAGCTCTCCGTGGCAATTTCATTTGCCGCCGAGAATCAAATAGATTATACGACATTTGAAAAATGGCAAAAAGGAGGGAAAATTCAAAAGGTGGGGTTGATATGGGAAGTTGGTGTCCGAGTGTATCGAAGTCACGGTAGCTCAAGTGGTAGAGAAGCGGCGTATCTAGTCGTCTTGGGTTCGAATCCCGTTCGTGACACTGAGTTTTTTATCTCAACCAAAACCTTAATTAAAGATTAATTAATTGAAAATAATTTATTTTGTCAATCGGACCACGAAAGCTAATAGATTACTTAAGAATAGTATACATGAAGATTACTCATCTTTTAAACTAACAACTTTTCTCGTCTTTTCTCCAATTTAATCCAGTTGTATTATATTTTACCAAGGAAAGACATCATCACTAGAAGTTCGCAATATCATTGTGAGAATGAATCATCGAGGTCACCTGCAAGTGGATATTGCAAAGGTTTCTCAGATCGTGGTCTCCCGTGCTTTATCTCGATTCCGAGTGACTGGAAGTGCCAAAAGGAGGCCTGGTAGTGAATCTCAACGCATTCCGACGCTAAGGGAGGACAGAAATATTGTCATTGCTGCAAGTCGGAACCCTTTCCATAGTGCCCGCCAAATCCTACAAGTTGTAACGATTCATAATCGTTTGTGGGAAGTTGGTCTCACGTCATATGCCCGGTTGAGACGTCCTGCAGCAACAGCCCGCCACTCAGGAGAGTATGGTGCAGCTAGCGCTAAGAAGACAACACCAATTGGACTGCTGTTTACTGATTAATCACGTTTCTGTCTGTATATTGATAGCAGGCGCCAAAGTTGTAGTAAATAAAAGCAAAATTAGCATTCGTCAGTCCATTCCTAATTATGTAGAGTGATATCACCACTAAAACAAACATTACATTGACATACTTAACTTTATTTACACATTCCAGAACACAAGAATAAAATTGGACAGAACGGAATGAATAGATATCTAAAGACTCGAGCCAATTTCAAGAGTAATAATTTGTGCATTCATGATTAATGAATTAATAGAAAGAGTGAGGCTGTGTTAGGCTGCCCAATTTGGATATGATGGGCTTAATTTTTGATAGCTGGAGACGGACGTCTAGTTCAGCATCTGGACAGCTTCGGGATTTAGTTATGGTGACTACAAATAGAAAATCCGAGTTTGTATGGGTAAGTGGTCGGCAATTTTTGTTTTCCAGGAGGAGTCAAAAATGTGGGTATCGGACTCGAAAGTAGATTTCAGGGAAGAGTCTGAAGTCTATCAAACATTCGTATTAAGTTGAAGGTTGTATGGTGGGCTTTGTCGAAACTGAAAACGGTCTTGCAGCATTGTATCTGTTGGCAAATCAAAGTGCTGTTCCCAATCTCCAGTTTGTTTCCTTTTAAAAAATAATTTAACGCAGGAGAAGACTCCACCTCTTCCTTCTCAACAGATTCTACTCAAAACTGGATTTTTATTTTGAAGTCGATAACTTTATCATTATCAACGAAAGTTGTGATAACCTTACCATGTAAAGAAAGACTCATCTCATTCGTTTTAATGAAAATATCTGATAAATACGACAGAATACCTTCCATTTTTCATCATTGAAAACGTTGGCCGATTTAACATTGTGGTCCATCAACATAATTCTTGTAATCGTGAAAGTGCTTTCCCACGAGACAGCCACCTCTCTTCTGTATGGAGAAGCAGGAAGTCTTCCCATATCATCATCGTCATAGTAGTGTAAAAAATCTTGACTTCAATGCCCGCAACTTAATATAATTAATAATTTGAACAGACTCATCCAATATTTTCTTAAAACAGGCCATGATTTGTTTCATAGTTAAAGCTGAGGAGAACAGTGCTGCTGCAAAATAAATAACTTTCGTTTTCAGTACTCATTGTTATTAGTTTTTTCATTTTATTTATTCATTCAGTAAAAAAATAATTATTTCAAATAAATCTTATTGCAATTTATAATAAAAATAAAACAAAAATGGTAGAAAATTGCCAATATCTTGGTCA